GCAGGCCAATGCTCTATCCACTGAGCCAAACCGGTCAGGGCAGGGAAAAGGGGTTTTTGTCTATTTGTCCCTTGCTGTGCATGCAGTGATGGCAATGGAGAAGGTACTCAGGAGTTGTATTGAGTGAATGAATGAATGAATGAATGAGTTGTGGAGAATTCAACATTTTTTCCCTGTTTACCTAACTCTATCATTACTCTTTAAAATTGCTCCGGTGGGATTCTAGAAACGTCCGTTTCTCGACATGGCCGCCAGTTACCCAGTTGTGCTCAGGTTGGGAAACCCAGCAAGTGTCCCTGTGTGAGGTGTGCGTTTGCTGTCTGCATGTTTTACTAGGATCTCATTTATGTTAAAAAAAAAAAAAAAAAAAAGAGGGGGGGCGCTGGCTGGGTGGCTCAGTTGGTTGGAGCATCATCCAGTTCCCCGAAAGGTTGCAGGTTTGATTCCCAGTCAGGGCACATACCTAGGTTTCGCGTTCGATCCCTGGTCAGGGCATGTGTGGGAGGCAATTGATCGATGTTTCTCTCTCTCTTCCACGCTCTCTAAAAATCAATGGAAATAATATCCTCAGGTGAAGATGAACAAAAACAAACAAACAAACAAAAAGATGAGAAAATTGCTCTAGAGGTACATTTCCATTGCACCAAGATTTGAAAATACAGATGAAGACGAACCAAGTCAAATGCTTTTGCTCTGAATACCTATTAACCTTTCCCTCCCGATGGATATACAGATTCCAGTATTTTAAATCCCAGAATTCCATGTTGCTGATGGGTGAGTGTTCTAACATGTTAATGCGCCAGAACTTCATTGTCCAGTAAGGTAGCCACTAGCCAGGGGTAGCTATTTACATGAGTTAAAATTAAGTAACATCGATGTGAGAGAAACACATTGATGGGTTGCCTCCTGCACGTGCCCTGACCGGGACCAGGGCTGGGGAGGAGCCTCCAACCCAGGTACATGCCCTTGATGGGAACCGAACCTGGGACCCTTCGGTCCACAGGCCAGTGCTCTGTCCACTGAGCCACACCAGCCAGGGCTCATACCCTCGTTTCTCAGATCCCGATGGGCCGGGTTCCCACACCCGAGGATTCCCGGGGGGGGGGGGGGAGTGCCCGTGGCTGAGGTTGCGTGGCTTTTGTCTCCTTGCCCAGGTGTCTGGATGGAGAACGCGTCTCTCAGCGACGAGTACGAGTACAGCCACTATGGCGAGGAGGTTTCCGATTTCCCCGTGGACTGCGACGACGGCACCTGCGTCGCCCTCGGGCCCCTCCGCGTGGCCCCGCTCCTGCTGTACGCGCTGGTCTTCCTGGTGGGGGTGCCGGGCAACGCCATGGTGGCCTGGGTGAGCCGCCAAGAGGCCCAGCGGCGGGCCGGGGCCGCCTGGATCCTCCATCTGGCCGTGGCCGATCTGCTCTGCTGTTTGTCCCTCCCGATCCTGTCGGTGCCCATCGCGTGGGGCGGCCCAGTGGCCCCTATGGGGCCGTGGGCTGCCGGGCGCTGCCCGCGGTCATCCTGCTGTCCATGTTCACCAGCGTGCTGCTCCTGGCCGCCCTCAGCGCGGACCTCTGCCTCCTGGCGCTCCGGCCCGCCTGGTGGGCGCCCGATCGGCGGGCCTGCCGGGTGCAGGTGGCCTGCGGGGCGGCCTGGGCCTGGGCCTTGCTGCTGACCCTGCCCTCGGCCATCTACCGCCGCCTGCACCGGGAGCACTACCCCGCCCGGCTGGAGTGCGTGGTGGACTACGGCGGCTCGGCCGTGGCCGAGAACACGGTGGCCGCCGTCCGGTTTCTGTGCGGCTTCCTGGGGCCGCTGGTGGTCGTGGCCGGCTGCCACGGCGCCCTCCTGTGCCGCGCGGCCCCACGCCGCTGGCCGCTGGGCACGGCCGTGGTGGCCGGCTTCTTTGTCTGCTGGGCGCCCTACCACGTGCTGGGGCTGGTGCTCACGGCGGCCGCCCCGCACTCCGGGCTGCTGGCCCGGGCCCTGCGGGCGGAGCCCCTGGTCGTGGGCCTCGCCCTGGCCCACAGCTGCCTCAACCCGGTGCTCTTCTTGTATTTCGGGCGGGCCCAGCTCTGCCGATCGCTGCCCGCCGCGTGTCGCTGGGCCCTGCGGGGGCCCGAGAGCGAGGATGAGAGCGCGGTCAGCAAGAAATCCACCAGCCACGACCTGGTCTCGGAGATGGAGGTCTAGGCCGGAGGGGAAAGCGGCGTGTCTCCTCCGATCCCAGTTCACGAAACTGGCTTCAGGCGTAGGGAGATTCAGGGGTTCAATGCTATTGCCATGTACCCCTTTATTCACTCAACAAACGTTTCTTTCTTTTTTTAAAAAATATATTTTATTGATTTTTTACAGAGAGGAAGGGAGAGGGATAGTTAGAAACATCGATGAGAGAGAGAAACATCGATCAGCTGCCTCCTGCACACTCCACACTGGGGATGTGCCCACAACCAAGGTACATGCCCTTGACCGGAATCGAACCTGGGACCCTTGAGTCCGCAGGCCGACGCTCTATCCAGTGAGCCAAACCGGTTAGGGCTCTTTTTTTTTTTTTAACATATATTTTTTATTGGTTTCAGAGAGGAAGGGAGAGGGAAAGAGAGATAGAAACATCAATGATGAGAGAGAATCACTGATCGGCTGCCTCCACGGTCCCCCACTAGGGATCAAGCTTGCAACCCGGGCGTGTGCCCTTGAACGGAATTGAACCCAGGACCCTTCAGTTCGCAGGCCAACGCTCTATCCACTGAGCCAAACCAGCTGGGACTCAACACTCGTTTCTTATGCAGCCGCTATCTGCAATGAGTGCCCTAGTATAGGCCCTGGGATGTAGCAGTGGCCCAAACAGACACAGATCCCTGTCCTTGGGGAGCTGACTGTCTTGCGGAGGAATACCGGCAATAAGCAAAGAAATAAAGAAATATGCAATGTGTCCTTTGGGTGAGGTGATATTTGAACCAAGATCTGAAGAAGGGAGGGGAGAGGCATGCTTATACCTGGAGAAAAGCATTTCAAGCGAGGGAACAGCAGGTGCAAAGGCCCTGGGGTCGAGTGTGCTTGGCACATTCCAAGAACAGTGAAGAGGCCAGTGTGGGAGAGCAGAGTGAGCGAGAGGGAGAGTGGGGTGAGACAGAGGGAGAGAGGAGGTGCAAGGGTCCGGGGAGGGGGGGGGCGGACTTGGAAAGGCTTCTAGGCCATAGCAACTGTTTGGGGATCCCCGGGAGGGTTCTGAGCTACAGTGACCAGGTAAAATACCCAACACCCAATTACATTTGAATTTCAGATGAACCACCACAACATTTTTTAGCATGAGGTATGGCCCATGCAAAAAATTTTTAAAAAATATGTTTTTGTTGATATTTAGAGAGAGAGGAGGGGAGAGGGAGAGAGAGAGAGAGGAAAAAAACATCGATGAGAGATGAACATCATCAATCAGCTGCCTCCTGCACGCACCCCCACCTGGTTTTGAGCCTACAACCCAGACCTGGGCCCTGATTGGGAATCGAACCGGCGACCTTCTGGTTCCTGTGTCCGAGGCTCCATCCCTTCTGGCCTATGCAGTATCTGACATACTTATACTAAAAACATTACTTGTTGTGGATCGGAAATTCAAATTTAACTGAGCAGCCTGTAATGTTTCTAAATCAGGCAACCCTATTCTGAGCAAAGGAGTGTCTGGATTTGACTCAGATTTTAATAGGATCCCTCGGTTGCTGGTGGAGACTGGACTATGGGGGGAGGGAGAGGGAAGGGAGGAGCTACTGCAAAGCTGATGGTGCGAGAGGTGAGGGTGACTTCCATCAGGGTCACGGCAGCACAGGTGGTGAGAGGGTGACCGGTTATGGATCTATTTTGAAGGAAAGGCCGTGTCCGAGCTCTGTAACTTGGTATTCGAGACCTCTGTCCATCACTGAACACACTTATATTCTTGGGGCGCAGACCCTGTAGCAAACAGAATGATGGCCCCCAAAGATCTCCACATCCTAATCCCCTGAACTTGTTGTGAATAGGGGGCCTCGCATGACAAAAGGAAGGCTGCAGATTTGATTGCGTGAAGGAGCCTGAGATGGGGAGACGATCCTGGATCATCCAGGGGAACCCACCGTCATCTCGTGTCCTTCTAAGAGGGAGGCAGAAGGGTCAGCGTCAGTAGCAGGAGATGTGACAATGGGAGTAGATGTCAGAGCGATGTGAGGAGGGGGCCACAAGCCAAGGAGTGCAGGCAGCCCCCAGAAGCTGAGAAAAGGCAGGGAAATGGATTCCCTCCCAAGCCCCCAGAAGGAACACAGACTCGCCAGTGCCTTGATTTCAGACTTCTGACCTCCAAAATTCTAATTGAATCAATGTGTGCTGTTTTAAGTCGCTGTGCTTGTGGTAACTTGTTACAGCAGCCACAGGAAACTAATGTGGATCCTCTGGCTTGTATTAATTTTCCCACCTCTGGGTCTTTTCTCCAGCTGGTGCCGCTGCCTGGAAAGCCCCTTGGGTCTCTGCTGCCCAATCTGGTAACCACGAGCTGTCTATGGCTAGTCAAATTCAAATAATTAAAATTAAAAATTTAGTTCGCGGTTGCATTAGCCACAGTTCAAGTGCTCAGTAGCTACGTGTGGCTGGTGGCGACCAATTTGGGGAGAACAGACAAAGAATATTTCCCTCGTCATAGGAAGTTCTTTATATGTCCTTCCATTCTAGAATCTCACCTGTTCAGATCTTTTATTTTTTTTAAAGATTTTTAAAATTGATTTTTAGAGGAAGAGAGAGAAAGAGAGAGAGAGAGTGAGAGAGAGAGAAACATCGATGTGAGAGTGAAATATCAATCAGCTGCCTCCTGCACACCCGCTACTAGGAAGCAAGCCCACAACCTGGCATGTGCCCTGACCGGGAATCGAACCAGCAACCTTTTGGGGCATGGGATGACACCCAGCCAACTGAGCCACACCGGTCAGGGTTGTCCAGATCTTTTAAACCACACAGTAGTGGCGTCTGTGTGTAGAGCCATTGCTCCAGGACCGCACTTTACCCACAGCTTTCCTTTCAGGTAATTCTCACAACAACCCAGGAAGGTGGGAGGAGATGCTGCGTTTTATAAGCTGAGGCCCAGGGAGGGGAGGTCATTTGCCCAAGGTCACCCAGCAAGGAAATGACAGAGCTGAGGTCTGATCCCATGTTTACTTGACGCCAGTGCCCATGCTCTTCTTCGTCAGCGACATTTCCCTTCAACACCTTGTTCACATGACACTTTCTCCAGCCAGCTCTCCCTGACTCACCCTCCTCCCAGCGAGGAAGGCGTGCTCTTCTCTCTTCCAAGTTTCCAGAACACAAGTTCCCAGCTGAACTGTAAATTCCCCAAGGGTGACATCTGGGCCACTTTAATCTCTCTCTCTCTCTTTTTAAAAAATAGATTTTATTGATTTTTTACAGAGAGGAAGGGATATGAATAGAGAGTTAGAAACATCGATCAGCTGCCTCTTGCACACCCCCTCCTGGGGATGTGCCCGCAACCAAGGTACATGCCCTTGACCGGAATCGAACCGGGACCCTTCAGTCCGCAGGCCGACGCTCTATCCACTGAGCCAAACCGGCCAGGGCTAATTTCTTTTAAAAAAATAATTTTTTATTTTTCAATTGCAGTTGACACACATTACTGTATTAGTCTCAGGTGTACACCCCAGTGAGACATTATATAACTTACTAAGTAATCATCCCAATATATCTTGTGCCCATATGACAGATACCTAGTTGTTATAATATAATTGACTGTATGCCCTATGCTGTACTTTGCATCCCCATGACTATTCTGTAACTGTCAATTTGTACTTCCTTTTTAAAAATTGTTTTTATTGTTTAAAGTATTATATGTCTCCTTTCCCCCCTCAATTTGTACTTCTTAATCCCTTCACCTTTTCTACCCATCTCCCTGACCCCCCTCCTATCTGGTAACCATCAAAATGTTTTCTCTACCCGTGAATGTTTCTGTTCTGCTTGTTCGTTTATTTTGGTGTTTTTTTTAGATTCAATTTTAATAGATATGTATTTATTGCCATTTTATTGTTCATATTTTTAATTTATTTTTCTTCTTCTTCTTAAAGAAACCCTTTAACATTTCATGTAATACTGGTTTGGTGGTGATGAATTCCTTTAGCTTTTTCTTGTCTGGGAAGTTCTTTATATATCCTTCCATTCTAAATGATAGCTTTGTTAGGAAGAGTAATCTTGATTGTAGGTTCTTGTTTTTCATTAATTTGAATATATATATTTTTGCCAGTCCCTTCTGGCCTGCAAAGTTCCTGTTGAGAAATCAGCTGATAGTATTATTTTAAGGACACTCCCTTGGTGCTTTTAAGATTCTTTTGTTCTCTTTAATCTCTTACATTTTAATTATAATGTGACTTGGTATGAGCCTCTCTGGGTTCCTCTTTTGGGACTCTGCACTTCTGGGACTTGTATGTCTATTTCCTTGACCAGGTTAGGGAAGTTTTCTGTCATTTTTTCAAATAGGCTTTCAATTTCTGGCTCTCCCTCTCCTCCTCTTGGCCCCCTGTGATGTGAATGTTGCCACACTTGAAGTTGTCCCAGAGGCTCCTTACACTATTTTCGTGTTTTGTTTTGTTTTTATTCTTTTTTCTTTTTGCTGTTCTGATTGGGTGTTTTTTGCTTCCTTGTATTCCAAATCCCTGATTTGATTCTTGGCATCATCAACTCTACTATTGATTCCTCATAAATTATTCTTCATTCTAGTAAGTGCATCCTTCATCTCTGACTGGTTCTTTTTTATGGTCTCCATGTCCTTTTTTAATGCTGTTGAAGTTCCATTAAGTTCGTTGAGCATCCTTATAACCAGTGTTTTGAACTCTGCATCTAGGAGATTGCTTGTCTCCATTTTGTTTCGTTCTTTTTCTGGAGTTTTGGTTTGTTCTTTCATTTGGGACATGTTTCTTTGTCTCCTTATTTTGTTAGTCTCCGTTTCTATGTATTAGGTAGAGCTGCTAGGTCTCCTGGGCTTGGTAGAGTGGTCTAATGTAGTAGGTGTCCTATAAGGTCCAGTGACATAACCTCCCTCTTCACCTAAGCTGGGGACTCCAGGTGTGCCACTGTGCACCGCCCCCCCACCCCATCCTGTGTGGACTGTGTATACCCTCCTGTTATAGTTGAGCCTTGATTGCTGTTATAGTTGAGCCTTGATTGCTGTTTTTATCCATTTCAGGGAGGAAGGGAGAGGGAGAATATGGGAGGGATTTACCCCCAGACTAATCGGCTGCAAGGACTGGCTGCAACCAGACCAATGTAGAGGATCGGGTGTGCAGGGGCCCATTCTATGG